TTTGAAGGACAGTCTTCTGCGGTGTGACGCCTTATATTCTGGTAGATTGTTACCAACATTTCAGAGGAACGAGTTGCCTCCATACGCATAACAGAAGAATAACTATCTACCAGACCGAACGGCATCACATCGAGCAAGTTGGTACAGTGGTAAGCCCCTAAGTTTGTATTTTGGGAGATGTTCCGTTCTAATATCGGCAGGAACAAAGGCTGCTCTCGTGAGTTCTTCAGTACCTCCAGACATATTCCTCGATTAGACCGGTGTCTCTTCCTTCCAGATCCTTTCCAATTTTCAATTCGTTGACGTGCTAGAGCCTAGTTACTAATGGCATCGTAAAATAGATCTAAATTCCAGGCGGCATATCCCGGAAGATAATAATCTTCATACTTACCCTCGTAAGAGCGGCCTCCGTAGTCTAGGGGTAACGTTCCCACCTCATGACNCTTTACTAATTTAGAATTTGTATGATTCTTTCGGTGAAGGGCTGGTCCATCACAAGGTCTCTACGCTCCGCAACATGTACACCAGTTCAATCCCGAAGCAGGATTCCAATCCGAGTAGCTATATATCAGTGTTACAAACCAGTGGGACGGTTGCGGGTTCGATTCCCAATGAGATCATTGGATTTTTAATTTCACCTAATCCTTCCAGCCGCACTATGGCCCTGGGATTGACTCAGCCTAACAAAAAAAATCAGAAATCTTCCTTGGGGTAAGGGACGGCCGGCGTGTAAGGCTGACAACATTACCGCCATATGTGAGCCAACGGTCTAGAAAATATGGGAAGCTCGACGCCTCACAACCCTATGGGCCTTCAAGGTTGTTATAGTGATAGCTTTACATGTTACCTATTTTTTACAAACTAGTCAGTATTTCTATCACGAATACGAGGTTACCCACTAATCACGATTTTTTTGTCTGATTTTCTTCAATGTGTTTGACTGAGGATCGGCTAAGTTACTTGTGAGGTACATGGTTAGAACTTCGGTCTGATTAGCAACTATAATATTAGAAAGATTTCGTGGTCTTAGCTTTTAGTCAAGTAATTCCAGGACAGTATTTTGAAATAGATATCGACCGTATCTCCATATCATTCTGAGCCATGTAATATCTGAAGTTGATACATCATTAAATAATTTAAGAACTGACGAAAAGCGTAGATCGATCAATAAATGAAGCCATCAGCCATGAATCAGTTATTCAGCCAATCACTAAATGAGACAAAAAACCAATNAGAAATTAAAAGGGGGACGCACAATGGACCAATAACTGGTCTAAGTGCATGGGGAAACCCACCCCTTCCCATAATACATACATACATATAGCAAATTATGTCAGATTTCTTCAAAATATTAGAGTTATCATCTATTTTTATGCTCATATTTGTTTAGAAATACATGGCAGGCCAGTAATTAACATCAAGATTGTCCCTAAGGCTCGAGTGGAACCCTAGAGCAGTCAATGTGTGCTTCGTTATGAAGAAATTACCTCCAGGGGAAGGTTTCCCTTCAAGTGCTGCAGCTCGTCATAACTCCATGCGTCTGTGGTATCGTCTTGAGGTATGAGAAGTCCTGACCAATCAGAATGTTATCATAGTCCCGGCCCTAATTAGAGCGTCACGTCTGGCCTGGCTGAACTCAGATTAAGCAAATTACTTCGTTACGAAAACAGAGTGACGCAAGACATTTTATATATAACGAAGTATGATGTTAAAATCTTATAAACACAACATGACACTCAAGAATCTCGAGATTAGTTATGTCTCCATTTGTCCCATATAAATCAAAATATAATGGAATAACTGCAAATAATATTTAATAAATATAATCCAGCCGATCACGGTAGAGTAGTCTAAGGTATTTACTGTCTTCGTTCGATCTGAAGCCGAGGTCATGGGTTCGAATCCCACACAAGATATGGATGTTAGGTATGTGTATGTATTTATCCTGTGTTTGTGTTTTCCTGTGTTTTGGTAAAGGCCTTGCGACGAGCTGATCACTCGTCCAAGGAGACCTACCGTCTACAAAATGATCATGAAACTGAAAATCAGAGGCCAGGGTCCAAGGAGGCTGTAGAGCCAGTGAAAAAATTATAACCCAAGTGATTAGTGTAGCCATAATAGTCTATATTTTTCTGAAAATAAGTGGTTTGTATCTCTGTTAGGGTATGTGATTTCTCTGTGAATATTAGTGGTTTTACTTGGTCACTACAAATGTGCAGCGACCGCTTCCTTACACGTCCTTATCTGCTCGGCATTCATGACAATAATGCCATATAACTTGAAGCTTTATAACACCTGTCGATGAAACAGCGTCGATAACCAACGTATGAATGTATCATCAATGGATGGAGTAGATCTATCAAAACGCTTACCAAACGCGTTTCTAAATGCGGAACTGATATGATATTATACGTATAATAACCTTGGATAATGGACCTGCTAACAGAAGCGGCAGGATAACATTTGTGGTAAGAGAAATCGAGGGACATACGAGGTCTGCGTTCTCATTCAGGCATGGATGTTGTCCACGAACAGAGGAACGATAAATTAGTCTGCGTATCCAACGAAAAATCTACAAGCTGACATTAGGTGAGTCTATGTGGATCATAGGCATAGAACTTATATTTATATAAAAGGTTTCGTGAAGGTTAATGAATGTTCTGAAATTAACAAATTTCCTGTAACCATGACCAAGAATTGTCGAAAATAAACACTTTACACGAAGTAGCAGTCCAGTTTTGTTTTGTTTCATTGCATCGTGTCTATTCTGTGAGTATCAATAATATTTTTATATGAATATGTGAAATTTAGCATTCTACATAAAGGGGACGATTTAAGACTGCTTAAATGTGCAGGTTTCTCTTGGGAGCTGGCCCTAAAATTCGACCTCGACCTATTTTTCTATAATGTGTAAGACTGGAATGGAAAAAGGCAGAAGGCGGGGAAAGTTAATACGGAATTTTATATAATTATATAAAATTATCAATTATAATTGATCCTGGATATTCTTTTGAATTCTAAACAGGCGCTGCGCCAAATTTTATTCATTTTGACTTATTGGACTTTTTTTTCAGAAGCGAGTAATACATTTCTTAATTACTTTCTAGTTATAATCCGGTTAGGAAGAAATGATGTTTTGATTCACACAATTGTGCGTTCAGGGTACGATATCTATTTTCATCTTTCTCAATTCTAGAAAATAGAAAACATGACGTTTCGGAAACTTGATCTCTTTCCTCCCTCAGGTGAGGGGGAAGACACCTACTCAATTGGGCCCTTTACAAAGAGTTGATCTCAATCACTGGACAACCCCTGTCAGATTTACACAGCTATTTAATTGTCTGAGACCATACTATTTCGGCGGGAGGTAACAAGAAAATATGCAATAATAATTGTGATAAAGCAAGCACATGTGTGGAACTAGGATGGAAAAGGAAGTAGAAATTTGGGCTTCAAACCTAGCCAACAAAAGCAAGTGCATGAGCGCAAATGCAAAACAAACGTGGGAAAAATTGTGAAAATATGTATTATTTACTACTAGTGCCATCTGTGGCTAGATTCATGGCCCTGCCGTTTTACCCTGGAGAAGCAGACTCTGGTACCCATTTGATAAGCCTGGGTGGGACCTAGAACCTATCTTGATGCTATGGAGGAGAGAAAAATTTGTCTCTGCCGGGAATCGAACGTAAGTCGTCCAGCTTTTAGTCCGTCACTATACCGCCTGAGCTATCCCAGGTCTGGAAATAATTAAGAAAATCACACAAGAAAATTCTGAGGTTGTAATTCGATAGGCAGTGCCATGACACAGACGGTTATTGGTTAGCTTCCTTAAGCGGCGGTCCAGGTTCGAACCCATGTGAGGTCATTTGGGTCTAGTTTCCCTTGTAAAACGTCCTTATACTAATCGCTTCACACTCATCTATTATCAATCGTGGCTGGCACAATAGGCCCAGTAGTGGCCGGAGTTCCAAGTTGACTCAGTCCCACCCCCATCAAAATTAATTAAGTTTTCCAAAAACTTTTATTTTCACAGAATGTAACTATGTTACTCTCAGAATCATCCACATTCGAGTGGTGACAGTTTCCAGTCTTTGCTCAGAAATAGTCCATACTGATTTGACAATGTTTCTCATTCCTCCCAGACAAATACTGGGGTGGAATAATACCCTAGATAGACCAAAACAATTTCCTTCTCTCCTTTCAAATTAATTATTCGCAAACTTTATATCATTCCGCACTTTTCAACAGGGCTATTGAAAAAGTGTCTTTAAATAACCACTGAATCAACCAGTTCTCCTTCACTTCAACAGGCACAGTCTAGAGAACAAATAGTAATGCTAACAATGTCGTTAAACAGACCAAAATAAATACATAACACGGCGCTTCATCTCGTAATTCACTCCATATAACATGGACAGTTGATAAAGGTTAGTTAAATAAACAAAGAATATGTCGATTCTACAAAGTGCGCAGATTAGCCTGGGCTGTGACGTAGGAGGGTCGCGTCACCATCCGTCGAATTTTGCTTTCCAGAATTAACAGACAGGCACATATCAGGATACTGGCCGCCCACATGACAAGAAGAGGCGTAGCGTCGCCCAGGTTGACGCTGGACAGGTCGTTCTTGACCCCCTTCCGTTGTTGCACCTCCAGGCCGCCCTTGGGCTGCAACTTCTGAAGTATTCCGGCGCTGCGCATGCTCTGTAAGCTGTAACACACGTGACAAAAAGGTAACAAAGTCAAGTTATCCCTGTAATAGGCCGTGAAGGCCCATAGGGTTGTGAGACGTTGAGGGTCCCACATTATCCAGACAATCGGCTCAAAATGGCGGTAAGGTTGTCAGCCTTACGCGCCGGCCGCACTTTACTCCCCAGGAAAATCATTTTTAATTAATTGCTGGTACTCATTTCTGTTAGAGGCTGAGTGAACCCCAGGGCCATAGTGCGGCTGGAAGGATTAGGTCAACTCAAAAAATCCAATGACCTCATCGGGACTTGAAGCCGCGACCTTCGGGCTTGTAGCATAGCCCCTCAACCAACTACACTACCGCGTGCCCCCCACAGGTGAAAAATACGTGTATTTATTGGTGGCATGTTTTATTTATATCTTATGTAATTAATTTGTCAGTAGCTCAGTCTACGTAGCTTCGAAGGGTAGCGTGATTAGTGAATACGTGTTCATTTGATTTGCGTGGACGGCCCTTAAATTTCAAATTCTTGTCTTACTTGTAGGCAGTTCGTGTGATAAGCTGTTATTCCTTTATATGTTGAGACCTTATATGGTCGTCATTATCCGGTAGATCTGGTAGTATTTGCTTCATTGTGATGATCTTTATAGTTCATTATTCTAAAAGTAGCTGCTGTGTTGTGTTTTAGATTTATGTTCTACATACCGTGGTACTGTGTGGGTTCCGTGGATGGTGTGTGGTTATTGGAGGATTACGAATATTGTTCCATGTAGGCACGTGTCTAGGAAACAACGAGGGATAAAACACATTTCCATGGAGGTGGATTCCTGGAGACCAATTCGGTGCAAAATAAGTTTCCGTTTAAACGAACACTGAACAAACATTTCCATGATACGAGCATTCAATAAACACTTCCATGGATACCGCTAGGCTATATAAGCGTCCGTTCAGATAAGAACGGCGGCAGTTGCAGTAGAAAGGAGAAGGTAAAAAGGTAAAAGTATCCCTGTAACAGGCCATGGAAGCCCATAGGTTTCTGAGACGTCGAGGTTCCCACATTTTCTAGACAGTCGGCTCATAGATAGCGGTAAGATTGTTAGCCTTACACACAGGCCGCCTATTCCCCCCAAGGAAGATTCCTCGTAATCATTTCTTTAAGAGGCTGAGTCGAACCCAGGATCATAGAGCGACTGGAACAATTAGGTCAATTGAAAAAATTCACCTTATTGGGACTCGAACTCGGGACCTTCCGGTTTGTAGCATAATGCCTCAACCAACTACGCTACCGCGTACCCTGAGTTACAAGGAGAACCAAGAAGTAATTAGTTCGTAAACCCGAACAAAGTCGGTCACAGTAGAAGACAGACTAGAAGAGAAGACAATTGTAATCCAGTCAGAATGAAGCGAGTCTTAGGCAGTCATTTATTGTGAGCTGTTGTAATTGTGATTAAGAGATATTGTAAAATAAATGTTAATAACTACAGCCATCCAATCCAAATCCGTTATTGTTCGTCACGGAGCCATAAACACGTGACAATAATCATTATATTGAACTGGAGGGAATGTGGAAGGAATCAATTGTGACTTATTTGAGGTGTCACTCGTCAATCGATGTTTGCCTGAAGGAACTGAAGAGGCAGAATCACTGCAGGACAGTGTCTGTGTCCAACAGGACACTCCCCGAACACAAGCCAAGAGAATTACATCTTCACGAACCGGGAATGTTTTAAGTTACATGTATGCTCATAACGAGGTGTACACTCGGTACCCCCGAGCATTGCAGCCGATACGCGCATGGATACAGATTTGACAGCAAACTGCATGTTACTTACTTGTGGTTTATGATGTCTCTGTATGGACTGCCCTTTGCGAAAGCGATGGCTAAGTTCACCTTTATAGAGGTGGCTGGCAGGCCGACTATCTTGCAAGGGATGTCATGTCTGACGCTTTCCATTCGTGACATCTGGGCTACGAAGGCGAACTTCATGGAACAGACACGCTGAAGACCTCCTAGGGTAGAGTGCGGAAAGTTGTCTGGGTCTGTGGCCATCAGTTTCTTGTACAGTCCGCTCAGTAACAGATCATTCGTCTCCTGTGTGAAAGGTAAAGTGGGATATATTTAAATTCGTTTAAAGCTAAACTACACTCTTTTTTT